TGTGATGGTATTAAGATGTGTCCAGGTCACAGTGATGAATGGAATTTGGGAACTTGTAAAAGAGGCTTCAGGCACCATTCTGCTAGCTGCCCATTCATTTCGCACAGGTAAAGGTATGGCATTCTTCCTCTCTGGGGGATCTGGCAGCAATACTTCATCTCATCAGACACTAAACCTGCTGGCTCCTTGATCTTAATCATCCAGAATTCCAGAACTGTAAGAACGTGTTCTCTTATTACATACCATCCATTCTATAGTGTTCTAAGACAGCCACACAAATAGCCTAAGACATTCCAGCCTGGTCTTCTCAATTGGAGCACATGGTAATCTCTATTATAACCATTACTGAAATGACTACACAAAAAACCTTATCTGTATAAGGGGTTTATTTGCTTTTCTTTTCATTTCCAGTTTAGTTGGATAAAAACTCTCTTAAGTTAGAAAACAGATCATTAAATAACCTTTTTTCCCCAAATGTCTCAGGACACAACTTTGATCTAGCTGCTCAAACACAAATGGAGGCAAAGCTCTCTGCCTCCAAAGGCTCATCATGTAAATGTTCAGTTGAGATAATATGCACAATGCACCCAACATTTAAAAATTGGCATAAATGTTTTCTCTTCTCTTCTTTGAACTGAAATATTTATCAAATTTATAACAGTAAAATTCAGATCAGTACAGTATAATATTTAGATCTGCATCCCTAAATTTAAGTTTTCTACAGGGAATAACTCAAAAATCAAATCAGTGGAATGTCATAATGCCTCTTAGAGGTATTTATGAACATCAGAATCCCGTTTGAAGAGTTTGCTGATGCACAGACTTTTCAGTGTTATAGATACAGCCAGTGCTAAGCAACTTGAGGAGTGTAAACAATGAAGACATATCTCACAGCTCCTTTCCTAAATAGGAAGAGATGACATTTTGTCAGCCTTGCTTCCCTGGAGATTAAAACCCCAGTGCCAAGGGAAGGCCAGGTGGCTCTTCTCCTACTGAGAAAGGAAAACACAAACTCCCTGGAAATCTTACCTTTGTATAAGCTGAGTTTCCATTTTTTAATTTAATTAACATTTTTCATTTATTTTACATACCAACCACAGTTTCCCCTCCCTCCTCTCCTCTCATCCCCTCCTCATGACTCCCATTTAACCCCCTCCCCATCCACTCCTCCTAGGTCTCCATTCAGAAAGGGGCAGTCTCCCATGGGCTTGAGCAGAACATGGCATTTCTTATGATAGTGGTCAGGCTACAGTTCATTTTGCTAAAGTCCTATTAAAATGACCCAAACACAACTGTTATGAAGTATTTTAGAAGCACGGTGGATATTTTAGTAATTCTCTGTGGGGAGACTACAGAATTAAATCAATGTATACCCAAATAAATTAACATGAAGTCATGGGAAAAATGGGTATTATTTGACAGAGATTTAACCAGAGACTTGGGAGAAAAGAAAAATGTCGTCAGGAACTAAAGCACACACCCTTGGTCTGACCTTCCGCTCCAAGTTCTCACTCTATAAAGTGACGCGCTGACCAGTTGTTCTCTAACGGGCTCGAGAGGAGTAAAAATGGGGGAAGCTGCTTGTAAAGTGCCCATCGAAGCCTGGAGAAGGCCTGGATCTACCTTGGAATGACAGTGAGGATGAAGATGAAGGTGTCGCCAACTAACACCTGTGGTGGCACACTGGGGCAGCAGCACCAACCAATGAGCTGTACAGAAGTGAACTTTTAAAAGCCCTTCTGATTTCCATTCTCTCGACCATGTTGGGCAGCAACAAACTGGTAATAGCCTCTGAGGGTCCAACTAAGAGAAAGAAAGCTTATACACTGTCCCAAAATCTTACATTTTATCCATGAGAACACCATATAGAATATATAGGGCTAAAATAAACTTTTTAAAACTAAATGACAAAAATGAAAATTTTACCAGCATATTAGAAAACAGCATTTTCACTCTTTAAAAGTACAGCACAAATTCATTGTCATCTGACAAGCAAAGATTATGAAAGCAACAACCGCACAAAGAACTTCAGTCTCACTCATTATTTGTTAAACAATATTTTCCTAAATTTTATAATTGTTTATAAATTATACATTTAGCCCTTTAAAAAAAGTCTTAAAGTTATTTCTTATTCTAAATAAGTATTGACTTATACTCAATGTTATATCTGAAATGCAGTTTCCTTCTTATTAAAAAGGCCCCCAAACTATATAAAAGCATCTACCTCTATAAAACTTAGGCCCTCTCCTAGCCTGAGAGAAGACACTCAACAAATGTTTACTGAACCAATGAATAGATAACTAAAGTTGGAATATATTAAAAATTAAATTCACCAAGACGTCAAATGTTTACAGAGCAGCAGCCCATGTAGGCACAGGCATCCATAGAGCTATTGATAGGATTGTTGATTCTCTGTCCAATTTGAGCTTCCCCTTCACAGCCACTGATGACCTGCGAGTTGGGCACAGTGGGCAACTTACATTGGTCTGCACTATATCACAAATATGAGGTAATTTCATACAGAGATGCATCCTGGGAACCTCTGAAAACCCACTCTGAGGCCCTTGTTTCTCCTGGAAATAAAAGGCTCTTTGAAAATAATCTTCAACATCAGCACAGACAAATTCAAGAAAAGTAAAGGAAAAAGAATAACAATAACACCAAAACATCTGGGAAACAAAAGCTACTACCGGAGTCGAAATTGTTGCTTGCTTGTGTTAAAGATTACAGGCAATTCTTATGCAGTGGAGCAGCCTCACTGGCATATCAAAAACACCAGTAAGAGTAAACTAAAAATAACATCCAGTCATTATTTCAAATCTCACACTACTAATGAAAAAGTTCAGTGGAAATACTATTGATTATATCTTACTAATTGGCTGGCTTCTCTGGCTAATTGGTAGTGTAGGTTACTGTGGGTGGGAAAACAATCCTTTCAGTGATTCAAATACCCAAGCTTGTCATATAATATGGACTTTGATATTTATTGGATTGTTTGAAATTTTGGATTCTTTATCAAAAAGAACAATGCCAGAGCTAGTGAGATGAGTCAGTGGATAGAGAACTTGCTGTACGAGGATGAGGACTAGAGCTAAGATCGCCAGGACAAATGAAGGTGGCCCTTTATTATGTCTGCCTAAGAAGGCAGACATGGAAGCCAGAGAGCAAGCTGGCTACTTGGACTATTCATATCAGCAAGCTCTGTGTTCAGTGAAAAGACCCTGCCTCAAGAGAACTGAAGTGGAGAGCTGTGGAGACAGACTTTAACATCAACCTCTCAGGCCTCCACATGAGTACATGCACATATGCACATGTACATCCATGTGCTTCTAGAAGCGCACGCGCACGCGCACACACACACACACACACACACACACACACACTGTAATAAAGACAATAGCAATGAATTTTATCACTGTCCTAGTTTCAACACCACTGCTGTGATAAAACCCATCTGACAAAAAGCTTGATAGAAAAGGATTATTTCAGCTTTTAATTTCAGGATATAATCTATAACTGTGAGGAAGTCAAGGCAAGAATGCCAAACAGGTAGTCCAATCATAACCATAGTCAAGAATAGAGAGAAAAGAGTGCAAACTAGCTTGCTTGCTTGCTTGTGCTCATCTTGACTTCTTTACTTTTATTTGTTTCAGGACTCCTTGCCCATGGAATGGTACCACACACAGTGGGATGTGTCTTCCAACATCAATTAAATTAAAACAATCTCCACATAAATGCCCACAGACCAACCCACTATGGACCTCTCTCACTGAGACTCTCCCTAAGTGATTCTAGTCTGTGGAGAATTGACAATTAAAGCTGGCCACAACAGTCTCCCACACTGACAGAAGCCCAAGAAAGTATGCCCAGAAGCCCAAGAAAGGAAAAAGGACAAAAAGTGAAAAGATCATGCCTGCTAACAAACAGCGAAACAGAAATAATAGCTGAATTAGGAAGAGATTTACAATTAACAAAGATGAGTAATGATTCAGGCAAGGATCATCAATGGGTGCTAAAACTTTAGGATTCAAGTCTTGAATCATCTTGCCATATTATGATGACTTCCCACCTCAAGACAGCCTTCTTTAAAATGAAGAAAGTCAGAGGCAATGCCTCTGACAAGCATCAAACATAGATTGCTGATATAAATTGATATTATTTGCCTCCATGTGCTAGAATACAACAATCACAATACTGTTCTCAACAAATGCAAATGGAAGCTCTCTAACAAATCAGTGGTCCTGGATTCTTGTTGGGGAAGAAAATGTTAATGTAGTGTAATAGGGATGGTTGAGCTGGAACAGGGATGGAGTGGGAAAGCAATGAAAGAGATACCATTATAGAGGGAGACATCACAGGGTTAGAGAGAAACCAGATGCTCAGGAAGTTTCCAGGAATCCTCCAGGATGACCCCAGCTTGTACTACTAGAAATAATGGAGAAGGTGCCTGAACTGAACTACTCCAGTGACAAGATCGGTGAATACTCTGTCATCTCAGAGCTTTTCTCTAGTGACTGATGGAAGCAGATGCAGAGATGCACAGCCATACACCAAGCAGAGCTCCAGGAGTCAAGCCAAAGAGAGAGAAAAGGGATTCTATGAGCAAGTGCACCAAGATCATGATGGGGAAACCTGCAGAGACAACCAAACCAAACTAGTGGGAACTCATGAAAGTTGGATCAATGGCTGTGGAGCCTGCATGGGACTGGGCTAGGCCCTTTGCATGGCAAGACAGCTATGTAGCCTGATCTACTTGGGGTGGGGGAATGGTGGTAGGATCAGAATCCATCCCTGGTGCATGAGCAGGCTTTTTGGAGCCTATTACCTATGACAGGACACCTTGTGCAGCCTTGAGGCAGGGGGAGGGGCTTGGACCTGCCTCTACTGGATGTGCCTCCCCATAGGAAGCCTTGCCTTCTTGTGGGGAGGAGTAGGGGACAGGTTGGGAGAGGGGGGCTGGGGGGTCGGGAGGAAAGAAGAGGGGGGTATTTGATTGATGTGTAAAATGAATGGAAAATTTTCTTAATAAAAAAAAAAAGAAATTGTGTCTAAACAACAACAACAACAACAACAACAACAAACAACAAAAGACCAGGGAGCAATTCCAAATTAGAGGTGCTAAAATATGACCTTGAGAGAGGTAAGCAAAATAGATGGCCCTGGCCAAGTCTTATCTAAGTCTACGACAAAGGATCTTATTCTCTCTCTCCTTTTTTGGCAATACTTTGTTTCTTGGAACAAAAAGGATGGGAACTACATGCACACATTAGTTATCACTTGTCTTAGTTACTTTTCTTGTTGCTGTGATAAAACACTTGGACAAAAGAACCTAAGGAAGATAAAGCTCATTCTGACTCACAGTTCAGAGGTATAGTCCATCATGACAGGACAGTTAAGCACAGTCAGAATTTCTCTGGACTGCCAGCTCCCAAATAATGACACAGAGAATTTGTTAATTCCAAAAGCTTGGCCTTAGCTTAGGATTTTTCCCAAGTAGCTCTTAAAACCTAAATTAACCTGTTTATATTAATCTATGTTTAGCCATGTGGCTTGTTACCTCTCCTCATTACTGTATGTCTGACTTCCTCTGGCTGTCTGGCTGTATGTGTGTCTGGTTGGCAAATCCTCCCACCACAAATTCTTTCTAGAGTTCCTATCTCTCCCTGGGCGTCCTGCCAATCCTTTTGTGCCTAGCTATTGGACATTCATCTCTTCATTAAACCAATCAGAAGGTGCCTTATGTGGGTAGGGAAGGACAGAGACACATCTTCACAGTGTACAGAAAGATTATCCTGACAGTCAAGGAGCAGGAACTTGGAACAGATGATCACATCACAGCCACAATCATGATGCAGAAGACTATCAATGCATGTTTTACTTTTCATCTTCTCTTCTCCATTTGTAGTACAGGATACTATCCAGAGAATGGTACTAACCACTGTCAGGAGGTCTTCCCACCTCAATTAACAGAATCAAAGTAATCCACCACAGGCATCCCTAGAGGCCCATTTTCCAGACAAGTCTACATTCTGTTAAACTGCCAGTTAACACAAACCATCATGCCATGGTTATCCTAGGACAGAGGTCTTAGGCAAAATCCAACATTATTGTAATTTTTTTCACTTGCCCAAATCCAGAGCAAGCACTTATTTATGTCAGCACTCAAATCTCTCTGGTTCATGCTTTCCCTAGGTACCTACAGAAGCCAAAATGGATGTGGAGGACTTTAAGGAAAGGGGGTGGTGCTGCCAGGGCAAGGGACAGGGAGAAGAAGAGACCCTGAGCACATAGAAACATGTAATAGCAAAGACTGGTTTGAAGTACGATTGTTTTTGTTTCTATGCTATATCAGACATTTATCAAAAGGCACTGAATAAGTAAACATTATCATAATTGTGAAACTTGAATTAAATGTGTTAATTTCTATTTACCACTAGAGATTCGGAAAATATGTCACAGTGATGTGATTCTTAATCTGACACTTTCAATAATAAGAATGCTGTAAATAGAAGGTAAAGATTTACATATTTTTTAATTATGAATGCACAATATAAACTAAGAGTAAATTTTTATATCAAGGTTATAAGCAGATGAAAAATGACAGTCTATATTTTAAATGCAAACAGACTGCTAAGGCATCCAGTAATATATAGTTGCAATACTTTACTTGAATATAGTCTGGTCTCAGATTCTAACATTTTTATTTTTGATAAGCAGCAATTTAAAAGGTTAGTCACCTTGTCTATATTCTAAGAGTTTGTGAATGTGAAATGCTGACACCTTGAATTTACATGTTAGCAAACTGAATAGGCTGCCTCTGATTCTTTATTCATCTATTCCAGGGTTACTGTGGGCCATCCATTATGCACATCCTTGGGAGTACCTCAATGAACAAACTGCCAATCTGAAGGGAAACAGATGAATAAACATAGAAGCTGTGAAGACAGGGATCTGAAATGAAATACAATGCTACTGTTTGTCTCCCAGCCAGATAGCTACAATTATATTCCACCAACTGTGATGATACTAAATAAGTCAAATCCTTCCTTCCCCATTTCTTGCCTCCCTTACTTATTTTGTTTTCCTCTCATTTCTATAATACATTCAATTCCTTCTTTTTTCATTGACTAACTATAGCCAATCAATAGTAACTAGAACTATCTAGCAATACTATTTTTATGTGTTAAAAATTAACTATGCAGGCCAGGTTATAGCTCAGTCAATGCTTGCATGAGGATTTGACTTGGATTCCCTTCCCATAGTAATCCAAGCACAGGAAGCAGATATAGCTAGGTCCATGGTGCTCAATAGCCAGCCAGCTCAGGTACTTGGAAAGTTAGTTCTAGGTAGGTGAGAGACCCTGTCTCAGAAAAAAAGGTGAACAGCTGAAGTGTGTGCTCTGGCCTCCCCACACCTATACATACACGAGCATCCTTACCCCAACACACAAGCAAGCATACACACAAAATAAAACTATGTGCTGGGAGATACCATTATTCTATTTAGCTTCCACAAAACTCTATTTGTGCCATTTTTTAGATGAAACTGAGGCACAAGGATCTTCACAATTTGCAGAGGGTGCACGTGTGGCAAGTGGCTGAATACACTCTCAGGTTCTCTGACTCAGAACCCAGGATCCACAGTGCACCGCTTGACTCCAAAATGAAATGGGTAGGATGCCTGTCAAACTACACAGAAAAGTAACCTGTGTGCAAAGATTAAAGACCATTTTGGAACTACTAACAAAGACAAGAATATACCTTTCAAAGGACACAGAGTAGGAGAAAGAAGATGCTGAAGAGGAAAAACTGTAGCATTCTATGTGGGTCTTCTCTGTTTCCCCCCATGGGAGCACAGTGGCCTCCACCTGCATAAGCGATGAGAATTGGCATGGATTTGATTACTGCACATCTGTTATGGGTCTCAGAGTGCATTAAACAAAAACAAAGTGAGGGAGGAATAGAGCCTATAATCAAGGTCCTCCCAGTTGTATTGTCTTTAGTTGGAGTGGCTTTTCTTTGTTTTTCACCAGCAGGCACATATGCCCACCCCACTCCGCAGCAACCAGATTTCAAAACAATTTAAATCAAGCTTAGTAGCTAATTATCCTAAGGTCACACTGAAGAAGCAAACCACCAGGACATCAAAAACCTAAGACTATCTAAATGTGAATTATGCAGCATGATTTTTTTCCATAAAAAAGGAGTGAGCATTTTTCTCTCTCTCTGAGAATAGCTGGCTTTCAAAATAGAGCTCTTAAGACATTTCACCTCTGCTCAGAATGCTTTAAGCTGGCCTCCTGATTATAAAAATCTCATCAAGATTCTTTCTTAAGATGAAGAATGTTTTATAAATTGTAATGGCTTTAATCAGCTCCCTCTTTGAAGCTATTTAACTCTGTGATGTAGCCCAATTATGTCATTTATCGACTCTGTATTAATTAAGTATCATTATAGAGATTGATTTATACACTTTTTCACATCTTTCTTGCCAGATGGTATAGCATTCTCCCTCTCAGTGACACTCCATAAACATCACCTGGATTCACTCAGTTCTCTCCACAGCTGAATGTTTCATCAACTCTTAGTCAAGTTAACCTGATTGCTCCTTTTCCTCTTCCTATTCCTCCTCACTCAGGCTACTGATGCAGAGCACCAGTAGTTCTCAACCCTTTTAATGCTGTGACCCTTTAATCCAGTTCTTCATGTTGTGGTGACCCCCCAACCATAAAATTATTTTGTTGCTACTTCATAACTATAATTTTGCTGCTGCTATGAGTCATAATGTAAATATCTGATATGCAACCCCCAAAGGGGTCGCGATAAGTTGAGAACCACTGCAGACACAAAGGGCAAGTGATGCAAACATAAGCACATCATTTCATCTCATCTCAGTCTCAGCGAATTCTTACCCCATGTGGGCATACAATTATCACAGCGATGTATTGGGGAGTCCTTTGCATCCTTAGCTGATTAAAACTTAGAATCTGTCCTATTGTCTAGAGCAATGGAGAAGATATATATATATACTTGGCAATGGAAATACAACAATTTTGCTTCAATAGAGTCACACCCTGAATTATATTTTACTTGAACTAATATAAAAATGACCTTACTTTCTTGAGATCACATGAGAAGAAAGCAGAAGGCAGGAGCCCCAAGGTGCACTGTGTTACAGGGAAGCCAGCCTTGCATGTTTACATTGCACTGGGTGATCCAAAACAGGGGCAAGAGCGAAGTGGAAATGCTGAGATGCTGTAGTGCTTTTCTTAGAAAGTGTAAAGATCAGGTTAATGGGATTGTTTTACAGTCATCTCAAACTCAAAATGTCTGAAAGTCAAAATGGTTGTTTCCCTCTAATGTGTAAACCACTGCATTCTCCCAGGTAGGCATCCTTAGAGCAAAGACTGTGGACTCATCTATCTATAGCCACTAGCTAGGTAAGATCAATGAGAGAAATATAAGAAAAAAAGGGTACTGACACTGGGATCCATGTGCCTCATTAGCAGAAAGGACTTGGGTGTTATGGTAGGTATGTTACCAGATCTGGCTTTACTTAGAATCTAAAACCCCAATTTCTATATAAAACATGATTTTTAAAAAATTCTTAACTGACCTGAGTACAGACTTCAACCCTTGCTTGTCAGTCTTGACTCCTCCTTCTTCCATCTCAAATCTAACTGGCTATCAAGTTTGGATCTGAATTTTGTCATACTATCTTGCTGCCCCCTCCCCCATCATTTATGATTCCTTTCACTCTGTACTCTTAGGACACCCTAACTCTCCTTCTCCAAGAAGGCAATGCACACATTCAGGTTAACATTCCTAAAACTGCAGTTTTAAAATGTTAATGTGCATCAGAAAACTGGAGGGCCACTTGCTGGACTCCAACCCTAGGCTTTCCCATTTAGTGAATCTCAGATGGAGCCTAAAGTTCTATAATTCAGCAAAGTTGTTGTTACTGATATTGTCAAGGAGCTGGGAAGAGGGTGCCAACATACTCGATGCTTCTCCATTTCCTCTGCATTAAACTGAATATTTTGGATTCTTCAAATCTTGTCTCTTCTGCTCACCCCAAATTATATTTCTCTGATCCCTGAGTAGACTTGACTTCAGCTAAACTGGTCTACCTGAATATCACCCAAATATATTATGCACTCCAATTTTTTGTCTTGATCTTGCATAAAATGCCTTTATATCTTCTTGTCAATTATTACTCAAGGCTACATCTTCAGTGAAGTGGGGCCCAGACTTCTGTTATCTCCTCTAGACTCCTACAGCATTAGTTTCTCAGATTGATGGATATGATATAATGAACACAGAATTTGGATCAAGAGAATATGATTTTGAATCCAATTCTTCACAAGCTATGTAACTTGATAAGCCATTTAATCACTCTGAACTTCAGAAATACACATACTAGCTTCTACTTCTAATGTGTCCCATAAAGAATTAATTAAAACATTTTAAGACTTTAGAGAGGTTTAGCACAATAGCACCATAGAATTCAGTTTGTGGTCATTGCCATCCTCCATCCTTTTCCCTAAGCATACATTTCACACTACATATAAAATCCATTTGACTAATCATTTGAGTCTGCTGCCTAGAGAGAATATTTCTGAAAGAACAATAATGACTAGGGCTTAGGAGAGAGTGCTGTCATTAAAATGTTCATCTTGGTTACATTAAAAAAAATAGGCCTTATGGCACACACACATGAGACAGAGAGAGAGAGAGAGAGAGAGAGAGAGAGAGAGAGAGAGAGAGAGAGAAATCTTAATCACCATTTGTGGCTAAGAAATTTCTGGGAAGTTCTCAGTAAATATTTAATTAAAATATGGTAACTTTCAGAAGTAATCTAAGACAAATGGTTCCATAAAGCTGCTTTATTCTATAGAACTCTATAGTTAATTGTACTTATTATTGAAATAAGAGATATTTCACATTCAGAAAAACTGAAAAGCTCTCATAAACTCAATGGTGAATGAGAGGTCAGATCATTACAAAAGCATCAATGAAATGAAAAGTCTCCTCTTTGAAGTAAATTTGAGCACAGAAGCTCTAAATTATGTAGCACAGAAAAATAACAAGAGCCTGGAGGTGATGCTGTCAGAACACAATGGGCTGTCTTCTGAGGGCATCACATAGTCACGTGCTCTTCCCAAATGGCTGCTGGTGTTAGTGGTTACACTAAACACTGTTGTTATCACAGGACATAGAAAGGAGGGACATTGAGGGAGAGAGGAACATAGGGAGAAGTATATTTGGAAAAGAAGTCCTAAAACTCCAATCTATTTGAGAAATTGGGAGCTATTTGTGACTTTAACAAGTTCCTTCTTAGTACTCATAAAAGACACACTAAAATATCTATGGTGAATGAAGGATGAATAATCACAGAAATATAAAAACGCCTTACAGAACCAGATTTTTAAAATAATCTATGAAGGAACAAAGAGATTTTGCTTCATCTTGATTTTTACTTTTCAGGATGAAAGAATTCAATATGCATCTGCTTCTCTGAATGTTTACTTTCCTACCTAGAAATGGAAAAATAATGCCCCATCTGCATGGTCCTTGAGGTTGATGTCATAATAAGTAACACAACACATGTGAAGGCACTCTAAGATATGGTATGTCAATGCCAATATTAATCCATTACATTGCCAAAATGGAGTTATAGCATTAAGAGACCACAGAAACTATAAAAGCCCATGAAAAGCCATAATCAGTACAGTAAAAGTTGCTGACCCCAAGCTTTAGAGGCTAACATCCTGAGGACCATGCTGGGCAGTTCTCACTTCTAGGGTGTAGTCTAGGTTTCCAGATGTCTTTATTATGCTGAGGAAAAAAATAAAAAACAAAACAAAATAAAATAAAAACAGGCCAATGAGCCCTGGTAGATGGCTGCACATTAAGTCAAACTGGGGATGTACTAGTTCTATAATTGTAGTTCTTAAATAAAAGTTCCTGGCTGTGTTCCAGTTTCATACAGCAATAGACTCATTCCATAATTTATGCCTCATGATCAGTGAAATCATGGTGAATGACCACAGCTTGCTGAGTGTGTTATTCCAAGGAGTAGCTGAGGTAGTTTGGGAAGTAAGCTAGGGTTTTGGATATCTCTCCTGGGAAGATAAACCATCCAAAAGGGTATGATCCAATCATTATTTCACCAGTCTCAAAACCATTGAAGACTTTACAAAGAGCATTATTTTTAGTTTTGTGACAATGGTGTAACAAGGACTTCGCTCACAGAACTTCTAGTGGGTGATTCTTAACCTGTTCTATCTTGTTCCCCAGGGAAGACATCTTATCCCTGTAAAACAGAAACAGTCTCCATCCTTCACTTTGTACTATGTACAACTGCTCGGACTGCATATCCCAGCTGATGATTTTATTTTGGGGGTGAAGAGTACTAATGAAAGCCGACCAGCTGTGTCTTCAGCTCCAAATAGAGTTATGAAGAATACAGTTTTCCTTTATAATACAAACAGAAAGTGCAGTTCTGGGACCTGAATAAACTATATTTGCAATTACTTTTGCATATTCTGACAACCCAGGCCAGGCTACATTAACATGGTGCTTCTTTTATCTGCTTTTCTAAATTATTTTATTTTATTTATATCAGTGTATGACGGCACCATACACAGCTATTAAATTAGGCCAAATAGACATGTAAGCTTTTAGAGCTTTTGTCCACTGTAATACTGAATTTCTTTCTAGGGCTAATATTCAATGAAGCACCTTGGTCTGGGACAGTGGGCACATGGTGGCAGTTCACTTATTCGGTACATTGAGGCAAGAGAATCATATGAGCTCAAGAGTTCAAACCCAAATTGGGCACATAACAAAACCCCAGGGGTCGGGGGCAGAAATATGCTCCTTATAAATTAAAAGTAGGAGCTCAGTGATTAAGGGCACTTACTGCTCTTGTAGATGGCAAGGGTTTGGTTCCAAGTATTCACAAAGCAGATCACAACCATCCACAATTCCAGTCCCAAAATACACACATACAGGCAAACACTCATACACACAGAGTGTTTCTAAAGTAACACAAAATAAATAAATATTTATTTTGTTCCAGAGAATACAAGCCTTCTATTGTCCTCAAACAATACCACCAAACATTTATTTACATAGACATCTACAGATAAACAAATATTTTTCATATGTTTATATCATTTAGGCTTAAATATCATGTTGTGTGCTTAAATCATTCACTTGTCTATACAGGGAAATTACAGGGCTAGACATATAGGTAAATCAACATATAAACTGGTCACACAGTTGTCCAGAAAGGTCCTCTAGTCCCCAAGTTCCTCCTATGACACAACAGACATTCCCCGTCATGTCATCCACTCTGTTTTTATTTCACTTCTGTAGCAACATGGAAAACAGCCTGGCCTCCTTTGTAGTCATTAGGAATCTTGGATGAAGCACAGACATGAACTCAGTTCTCTCTGAGAAATACATAATATGTTAATTATAGAAAGAATGTTGTAGGATCATTTTGAGTGTGGAAACCTTTCAGAAGAATTCATAAATGAGCTTGGAATCCTTAAGGGCCAAAGAAGATATTCCAATCAAATTATTAAATGTGGAACTGGGAGGAGCCTCCACAAGCTATCAATATTTTCATTTGCATAGATTTTGTTCATAGAAAACTAATTTTTGAAAATATTTCAAACAACACAACTCACCTGTAGATGGAAAAGGAAGCTACTGATCGGATGAGGGATGCCACAGCCCCCACTTTGGCGGCTTCCACAGCTCCCTGATGACGATATTGCACCGTAATCCCATAGCTGGTGTAAGGCTGGTTATAAACAATGATCTTCCCTCTTGCCTCGGATGCCCTTCTTTGGAGTTCATCAAAAGAGGTCACTACCAGTACTTCTGCCGTGATGCCTGGAAATAAAAGTAAAACAGTTAAGTTGTGCTTTCCAGTCAGCTAGGGGGAATTGGCACACAAAAGGTCACACATGTTCTATTGGCTACATCTGGCAAACTGAGTGGAGGAGATTGAAGTTTGAGAGCTAGTTACCATGGGAGCAAGACTACAGAGTTATTCATCTGCCCAAGACAGAGACAAGACATTCAAAATAATACGACATATGACTCAAGGTTTTCAACTCACTCCACCAGGCAGTCTTAAGTCACAAACGGCTTGAAAACATACCTTTCCCCTTTCCTCTGAAACCATGTATTTCATTCGAGGACACTATTTTTAAAATTGTATTTCAGAAATCTTAGTATTAATGAAACACATATTTAGCCCTTCATAAAGCTGTTTTCAGATGTTGCTAAACAACTCTCAGTGACAGAAAAGGGTTGCAGCCTGGGAAGAACACTCTTAGAGGACAATTTTTTTTTTTTTATAAACCCAACTTTTAACAAATAATGCCTTCTCCTGAGAAAAATGAAAAGTCAACCTGTTTTCTTTTCTTCTTTCACTAAAAACACATCCAAAAGAATGTGAAAACTTCCTGTGCTTCTCACTTACAATCGTTCATCACCAAAAAATACACTACTATTCTTCAAATAAAAAATGCAGAATATGTATTAATGCTCTTGAATCCTTTTGTTCTGGTTAGATGTGTCCACTTCCTCATATCACTTTCTCACATCACCATATCTTCTTGATTAAAGGAAGAGGGTTTCTGTCTTCCAAGAATTCATGCAAACATATCTACACAGACATACCCATGTATATACATATCTAACACATACATACTCATACACAAACATATATACTCATACACACATACTCAGATATACACACACTCACATACATACACACAGAGGACAGATGCAGTGGCTAAATCTAACTAAAAGACATGTATTCTGGTTTTAGTTTTTGTGTATGCTAAGAACTAAATTTAAGGCCTCGTCTATGCTGGGCAAACACTCAAATACTGAACCACATTCACAGTCCCTAATGTCTATTACTCTATGGCTTTAGCCATGCAATTATTAAATATATTAGCAAACTCTGAAGCAATGAGCATACATCTGTTATATTTTCTTAATATTACAAGCCTGAGAATTTTAGGATGTTGGGTTTTTTTGGGGGGGAGGTTTTTTTTTCCTTTGAAAATTTAAAAGATGCTTGGCCGGGCGGTGGTGGCGCATGCCTTTAATCCCAGCACTCGGGAGGCAGAGGCAGGTGGATCTCTGTGAGTTCGAGGCCAGCCTGGGCTACCAAGTGAGTCCCAGGAAAGGCGCAAAGCTACACAGAGAAACCCTGTCTCGAAAAATCAAAAAAAAAAAAAAAAAAAAAAAAGAGAGAGAGAGAGAGAGAGAGAGAGAGAGAGATGCCTTATAATGGTAACTATCACTTGGAAAAATCCTTTAACAATTCACTCAGGTACTAGGAAATTCTTGCTTTCAATATAGGCCCCACTGTAAGAAGTCTCTGGGCTATGATTAGTTACAAATCTATAAGCATTTCTCAACCAACAACTCAGAATTTAATTTACAATCCAAAAGAAGCAATATATAATTACAAAAGGAAGGAAGTCATCAGCTTTCCACATAATAAAAATGCATTAAAAACATGAATATGGGTTCAGGTAGGCAAATTCTGAGATTCTGAAACCTAGAGTTACCTTGATATTTGACCAATGTTAATGCTAGTATTATACAATAATTTTGTTGATGGCTTTCAGTCTTTCTTCATTAATTAAAGGTTCACTAGTTCAATTCAACATGATGTCCAAACAATGGGGTAATTTTCATATCTGGATTAAAACTACTAGAAGTGAAGCTAAATTTCTACAAATTTTCAAAATTAAATGAAGGATATTTCCTTCACTATAGTGTATACCTCAAATTCCTTTCATACATAAAAAAGGAGACTTTGAGAGCCATAAAGCAAACTGAACAGCCCAGAGGCCAATATTTATAACATTGTAACATTTGTAATATAGGTCAAAGCCCAGCCCTGGAAGAAGAGTTTGAATGAATATATTTCCCTGAAAGCAGAGTCCTCTCTGATTCATTTGTCTGTTTCATCCCATCATCCAATCAATATTCAAAACACTGACAATTTTTCCTCTTAGAGGTCAACACTGACTGAGCCCATGTCTCCTGTCTCACACTGTTACATGCTCCTATGTCAGGTCCTCATTACCTGTATTTTAGACTTTTATAAACCCTGCCTTCCCAACACTTTCACCACTACTGGCATCTCAGCCTCCAGCTCAGCTCTTTCAAACGCTACAGTTTCCAGCTCTGACTACATTAACTACTGAGAAGTCAGATCTGTCTACAACACCACCACTTTGTTCCTATCTTACTTCTGAAATCTTACTTCAAAGACTCAACTTTCAGCCTGTCATTCCAAGCCTGTCTACCTCTATAGACACATTTGCTTTTATGTTAGACTTCATTAGTCCTGATCTTAATGTTCTCACTCTCTTTCTCTGCTAATTTTGTTCATGGTGTCTTTATTCATGCTCTTGTACATCATGTCTTATGGACCTTTCTCCCAACTTCATCTTCAGAACAAATCACCTAACCACCAGGATCCTGTTAAAAATCACTGCTTAAAGTTTTTTAAAGGAACATTTTCTGGCCTCATATTTTCTGTCCTATCTTCTCACTCCCAGCTAGTAAAGTCAAAGTATGTATTTAGCTTCCTACAGGGCACTTTCAGGGCACCCTAGATATGGCAGTGTGATAGACAAATGAAACTCTTTTGGGGGCTCTCTCTACTGCCGAAAGATGGTCTCCTTGGGATTTGGGGCCATGTTCATTTGGGGGAACAGTGCCTGGCAGTATGTGAACATAGCTGGTCACTGTATGTCACTTGATTGAAACGGCTCCAAATAGGATAACATTCTAACTTGACCTACAAAATTTGATAGTCCTTCCACAGTCACCTAGGAATGCATTCTCATACCACCCACCCAGGACACATCTGCAGATCAATAACTCATCAAAGACACTCTGGGGCAGTCTGAATATAAATATAAATTTCAGATATAAGAACTCAAATTCTAGAACATAAAAACACTTGTCTAAATATTCTTCCTTTACACAAAATTCTACAGCTAGCATTGAAACAAATCAAGAGGACAAGACAGATCTAAAGCTGATAGCATTGCCATGAAAAAAAAAGAATAGTAATAATCAAAGACAGAAGCATTCTAAATAACAAACACTAAGGGAATTTCCTGCAGTGACATAGATATTCCACTCCAGAGGTGACACCTTAGTCATCAGCCATAGATGGCCCCTGAGCACTCAGAATACAACTATTGTGACAAAGAAACTAAGTTGTTAATGTCATTTATTGATAATTGATGTATATTTACATTTAAACAACCGTGTGGGAGTAGAACTCTCAGTTACTACAGCTCAAGCCATTAAGAAGAGACCATCACTGAGAGCATTGCTGCTGGCCCCAAGGGACTTGCTAATGACAGTCTGATAACATATGTGAGTCATGATTGTGACCTCAAGAGGTCACAGACCAGGTGACAGTACTCAGCAGCTACATTTGGGAAGGCAGGTGGTGTATCCAACTTGCACACCATAGGAAGATGAATTAAATGAGGCCGTCTGGAAGACTCCCTTTATGCTACACCAAAGAAGACACTCACGCCATGCTATGATCAGCAGCTTCTGTCTCTCTCTCCTCCTACCCCCCCCCCCATTCTACAAGGCTACTCACAAAAGCCTCTAAGAACTCTGTAATGTCCACAGTAATGCCTGCCATGAAATTTATGCTCATAATGCTTCCTACATCCAACTTTAGTCCACTTAGTATCCTTAATTTTGTCACAGTCCTTAACAGTATCTAATTGCATCCATTGTGAAAATATAAGGTACATGGGAGGTAAGACTCTTGTCAGTTTTTGTCATTAATGTTACACAAATGTAAAATAGAACTCATACATATACATATGACACATACATATGTGCGTATACAAACACTGAATAACTGAAACAAAAATATAATGGCCCAGCTGTATCACCTCCCACAAATGTGTTTCCCTAAGGGCCTTTCATATTTCTGTATTTCAGATAAGTACTAGCACCAATGTCTACCTTTGGGTGCTCACGACTCTGCAGAGTAGTTTCTATGTGGACACTGAAGTGTAGAGAGTTGGGTTTATATAACAAGTTGGTATTAAAGCTGAAATTTGAATTTTTGGTCATTTGCATCCTCGGGTCACACATTTCCTGTTAACTGCATTGCTGTGTTCTATAATAAATGTAAAATATATGACAATAAAGCTTGGAGTTTTTATTTTTAAGAGGAATAAAAAGGTAAAGAAAAACCAATATAAGGTCTGCCAAAGTTGTCATCAGTTCCTTTTCAGGCTTTTGCTCATAAATTGGGGCCTGTTACACATATTAAGGCCTGGGTTGGCAATATGGGATGCAGGAGAAAGCTTTGCTCTAGGGCAGTGGTTCTCAACCTTCCTAATGCTGCGACCCTTTAACCCAGCTCCTCCTGTTGGCTGATCCTCAACAATACAACTTATTTATTGTTGCTGTTTCACAACTGTAATTTTGCTAATGTTATGAATCATAATGTAAATATCTGCGTTTTATGATGGTCTTAGGTGACTCCTATGAAAGGCTGTACAGGCCTCCAAAGGCACAGGCCACCTACAGGCTGGAAACCACTGCCCTAGGGCAAGACTTATCAGACTGATAAGAATGATGAAAAGAATAATGGCCATTAATTTCCAAAGAGACTGTGGAAATAAAGACAAACAAACCCAAAGTAACTCTCTTATTTACCAGAAAGTTTACAAAAATTCTCAGGTTCATTTTTTTTTCACACTGTATTTTTCAATTCAAAATTTCTAAGCCATTTACCCTGTCCGTGACTGTTTCCCACAGTCTCCCTACAAAGGCAAAGCAGAATGCTCACCACTGGCTAGCGTCATCTG